CAAGAGTAAACTTTGGTTTAAACATGCCATTGAGTACTTCCCAGCAGCACAGAGGGATGACCTGCTGTTATATGAAACAGTCCGGAGGAGCTGCCTGGGCACGTGAGACTCGGAAGCTCGCCTCCTCCATGACTCCATCCCCACCACAATCTCAAAAGACAAAGGTCCCGGTGATGGAGACAGGCCAGCAGGAGGGGCATCACCATGAAGGAATAGCTCCAGGGAGAGTCTTGGGGTGGTAGCGCTGTTCTGTGTCCTAAGTATGATGACAATACACGAATCTGTACATGTGTTAAAAGGCACAGAACTACACATGGGTTCGAATTCAAAAGAGTCCATTTTGCCAAGAATGTTGAGAAATTTGAACCCTAAGGAACTGCTGTTGGGAACACAAAACGATGCAGTGCTGTGACAGTTTGGTGGTTCTTCAAAAGTTAAACACAAGTTAAAGTCATCATATGATCCAGTAATTTCACTTCTGGGTGTCTCCCCTAAATAACTCAAAGTACGGTTTCAAATAATTGCACACCCGTGTTCCTAGCAGCATTATTCGCAGTAGCTAAAAGCAATAACCCAGGCGTCTGACTGGTGATTGGATACACAATGCGGTCCATCCATACAATGAGCTATTATTCAATCATAAGAAAGAATGAAATTCTGACATGTGCTACCACGTGGATGAATCTTGAAAACATTGCCTTAAGTGCAATGAGCCAGGCAAAAAAGAACAAATCCTGTCGGATCGCACTCATATAAGGTCCCTAGAGGGGTCAATTCCATTGAGATAGAAAGTAGGTTGAGGGGCCAGGGCCTGGGGGAGGGGGGAGGGACTGAGTGTTCAATGGGACAGAGAGTCAGCTTGGGAAGATGGAAAGTTCTGGACGTGGATGGTGTCATGGTTGCACAACAGTGTGAATGTGCTCAGGGCTGCACTTAAAAATGGCTAGGATGGTAAAGTTTATGTTATATAGATTTTACACATATAGAAAGTCAACAAAAAGTCAATTTCACTACATAATAATCATAAAAATTAAATAAAACGATGCAAAAAAGAAAAGCGAAAAACGACAGGTGCATAAGAATCTCCTGGCGTTGTTAAAACACAGATTGCAGCTCAGCAGGCTTGGGGTGGGAGCTGAGAGTCTGCACCTGTAACCCGCTTGCAGGCAACGCTGACACAGCTGGCCGGGGTCTCAAGGTGCCAGGAGATAGCTACTATAACGTCCCTCGCGGCACTGCCACGCGCAGGAAAACAAGCTAAAGGGCGCAGAGGAGATCTGTTCATGCCATGGAAACCTGTACAGCAGCCCCAGTGCATAAACTAGGCTCACCTGCATCAGCAAGGATGAGCGGACTGAGATGTGAAAAAAAAAGCAAATTGAAGGAGAACCGCTCCTATGATACTCATACGAATATTTTAAAGCGCATGAGACAATACAACGTGGCGTACACAGACTCACACACACAGCCAGCCGGGAAGATGGCCGCCACCTTCCGCGGAGGCTGCCTCCAAACAGGGAGGCAGGGGAGGCACCGGGAGCACTGCCCCCATCTGTACTGTTGTTTTCTAACCTGAAGCAAACTGGGAAAGGGCTGACAGGTCTGGCTGTAAGGAGCCAGGTGTCTGTTCTGTCATTCTCTGTGTTTATTTGTCCATTTTTTAAATGTCATACTCAGAAAGAAAATAATCTGAAATGTGGTATTAAAAGCATATAGAAGGAACCTACTCACTGCTGGTTTTAATAGCTGAGATATGGAAATAATCTAATATATAAAAATGGAGAAGTGGTTCACATATCACCATACGTCCACAAAACACCACTCACACAGACATTTATCACCAGGTTGTGGGAAACAGGAATGAGAATGAGCCTCAGAAGTACCTCCTGGAGTGAGAGGAGTCAGACACAAAGGAATCCACACAGCACGTTCCCATGTCTGTGAAGTTCAAGAACAGGCAACAGCACTGATGGTGATAGCTCAGAGGTGAGGGGGGTCTGCCCGCAAGGGTTGTGAGGGAACTTTCTAGAGCACTTGTTATGGGCGGTGACAGTTGTCAAAATCCACTGCTTGAACACGTGGCTGAATGTGCATTCTATCAACTATGCCTTGACTGAAAAAAGAATCAGGTTGCGAAAAACGTAACGCCATGGATACATGTTTACCGTATGCCATTATGTGGAACACAGAATTGAGCATCAACAAAAAATAAGTGAACCCTGCTAATCCTTTTGCCCAGAAAGAAGCATTAAGAAATGTCCCGGTGGGAATAGTACTCAGCCATAAAAAAGAATGAAATAATGCCCTTTGCAGCAACATGGGTGGACCTGGAGATCATCATTCTAAGTGAAGTAAGCCAGAAAGAGAAAGAAAAACATATGATACCACTCATATGTGGAATCTTTAAAAAATGACACAAATGAACTTATTTACAAAACAGAGATAGGCTCACAAACAGAAAACAAACTTACGGCGACCAGCGGGGAAGGGGGTGGGAAGGGATAAACTGGGAGTTTGAAATTTGCAGATACTGGGGGGGAGGGCATAGCTCAAATGGTAGAGTTCATGCTTAGCATACACAGGGTCTTGGGTTCAAGCCCCAGTGCCGCTTCTAAAAATAAATAAACCTAGTTACCTCCCCCTTCAAAAAATATAAAACTAAAAATAAATAAATAAATAAAATTTAAAAATAAATTTGCAGAGACTACCACATATAAAATAAACAAGGTCCTACTGTATATATAGCTCACGAAACTGTATTCAATATCTCATAATATCCTACGATGGAAAATAATGTGAAAACGTGGATATACGTACAACTGAATCACTACGTAGTACATCAGAAATTACCACAACGTTGTAAATTAACTTCAACGGAAAAAGAAAGAAAAGAACGCACGTGGCCGGCAGGGGGCGCGCACGGACCTCCCGGGCAGCCGCACTCCGACCTGGCCGCTGTAGGCGCGGGTCCTGCCGAGGGCTGCGCGCAGCGATCG